CCTCTGGACATGTCCAAACCACCGTCCCTCCTCTGGACACATCCAAAACACCGTCCCTCCTCTGGACATGTCCAAACCATCTCAGTGTGTCCTCTCTAACTTCATCTCCCAGTTGTTCAACCTGTGCTGTACCTCTGATGATCTCATTCCTGATCTTCTCCATCCTTGTCTCTCCTAAGAAGAACCTCAACATCTTCATTTCTGACACTTCCAGTTCTGTCTCCTGTCTTTTTGTCCATGTCTCTGTCTCCAGACCATACAACATAGCTGGTCTCACCACTGTCTTGTAAACTTTTCCTTTGACCTTTGCTGACACCCTTTTGTCACAAATCACTCCTGAAACTTTTCTCCATCACTCCATCCTGCCTGGACTCTCTTCTTCTCCTCTTCACCACACTCCCCATGTTCCTGGACAGTGGACCCAAGTCCTTGAAGTCCTGCACCTTTGTGACCTCTGCTCCTTGTAGCCTCACTGTTCCACCTCCTCCCTCTCAGACACACACATGGACTCTGTCTTACTACGACTGACTTTCATTCCTCTTCTTTCAAGTGCATACCTCCACCTCTCCAAGTTCTCTTCCGCCTGTTCCCTGTTCTCACCACAGATCACAACGTCATCTGCAAACATGATAGTCCACGGGGATTCTTGCCTGACCTCATCTGTTAGTCGGTCATCTGTCACCCGTCCTCCACTTCTCTTTCTGTCCACACCATGGTAAAACAGTTTGAACCCTGCTCCAATGCTGCGAGCCTTGCTGCTCTTCCACTTGGTCTCTTGGACACATAAAACATCTACCTTCCTTCTCAGCATCATGTCAGCCAGCTCTCTACCTTTGCCTGTCATTAGAGTTGCAACCCTCAGTCCTACATTCTTCACTTTCCTCTTCTCCTCTGTCTCCTGACACGTTTCCCTCCTCGTGGTCTTCAAGTAACAAAGTAAAGTACACGAGTAACAAGTACGTAAAGTAAGTTAAGTAACAAAGTAAACTAAAATTTAAAGTAGTTGGAGGCTCAAAGTAGCTAAAGGCTAACAAGAGGCTAAAAGAAACCCTGAGTGCCCTGAGACAACTTTGTTGTGATTTGGCGCTATATAAATAAACTGAATTGAATTGAACAAGCCGAAGGTTTACAGAGGTTCAAACAGCCGAAAGTCTGCAAAGACGCCAGTCTAGAAGAATGTAACGAAGAAATGATGAGGAGACGCCGAGTCAGCATTCGTGTGCGAGTAACTCGTGTTTCATCAGCAGTGTCCGAGCTTCCTCCTCCTCCTCGGGGCATCATGTGACCTCGCAGCAGCTAACGAGCTCCGACTGGAAAACAAACCACCTGCAGTAAATTTAGGCTGCTTTTTATTTTTAGTTGCTTTCTGTGGGTTTTGAATAATTTCAGCCTTTCAGAGACGCTTTGCCTCTGAGTGTCTGGGGAACTCAGTTCACCGAGGCCGGCCCAGTAGCTCAGCTCAGACTGTTCAACATGTGGCCCGTGGGCCAGACACGGCCCAACATGTGGCCCGCGGGCCAGACACGACCCAACATGTGACCCGCGGGCCAGACACGGCCCAACATGTGACCCGCGGGCCAGACACGACCCAACATGTGACC